TGTGCTGTTTCTGTAGAACAATAAAAATACATAACCATAAAAGAGGCATTAAACAGCAAAATAAATCAATAAAACAGTAATAATCATTTTATTGTTTTCCAGTTCAAATATGTAAACATCCTTAAAACAAGGCTTCAAACAAAACGGCAAAGGGTTTACACAAATGAACATTCTGTCATTATTTACTCACACTCATGTTCAAGCCTGTATATATTTCTTTCTTCTCTGGAATACAAAAGAAGGTATTTTTTGGAGAATGTTGGTAACCAAACAGTTCTGTTTCCCATTTACTTCCATTGAATTATTTGTCAATACAATGGAAGTCAATGGGAACTACTTGTTCTCCCTCCAAGTTTATTTTTCTACCCCACTGGCAGTTTTAAATTGTAACTATATTTAGGCTACCTAATTTATTTCATGAAATAATTACATTATATATATATATTTCAAGTTTAAACCTTGTTAAATTTTTGTTTACTAGACAAAATTACTGAGTAAGAAAATTATTGGTGCACTGTATTATTTTAACAAAAGGTGACATTGTGAATCTGTCACAATGTACTGCAGACTTTGACCACCGCTGTGATCTCTGTTCTGTGATTGGTTATAATGGCAAGAAACTCATGTCCCACAGCCTGAGCAGTGACAGTTAGCCATAGTCATGGTCTCTGTGTGTTGATGTTTGTCCCTGACTAGTTATATTTAGTGGCGTTAAACCATTTTGAAATTCAATCTACCATTTTACAAGACTAAGAGCTCCAGGGAGACTTTCCCACCACACGGTCAAAGGAGAAACACACCAGCAGTCACCCATTATGACTGAAAGACTTCCTGAGGTTTATATTAAACTCAGTATATTATGGTTACACTTATTTTAAGGTGTCCTTGTTACAGTGTAATTATATATTTAAGAACTGAGTAATATTAACAGTATGTACCTACTATAGGGTTAGGAGGATTAGGGATCGTTGCATGTAATTATGCATAATTTACAGTTATTGCTATAGTATGTAACATGCATGACAAGGACACTGTAAAATAAAGTGTTACCAAGTTTTAGATCACATTAGTTTCTCCATGTGCAAAACAAGACATTTGGGCAGTTTCTTCCACTTGATCCTTATAGTGCTGCCAAAGATTTCCCCCTTAAATAAAAAAATTAATTAAACCTGATAATAAAATAATGTAAATGATAATTGAACTAAATATGATAAATTATTTGAGAAAAGCTTTCTTGCCAGTAGATAAACTTTTTACCATACCTTCATCATTGAATTGTATTTGTTTGTGTAGTTATTCTAGTTTTAACTTTGTGCCAGATCCTTAATCTACAAAAATCCATTAAAAAAATAATAAAACTATGTAAACAAAGAGTGAAATAAACACTTCAATATTTATTTTGTGAAAATTGTTTATATTTATGTTTACACAATTAGCGACTGTCCCTCCTGTGATGCCATTCCCCCCCACAACCAACAATTCAAGCTGCAATTTTGTCCTAATTATGCAAAAAATGTAGCACCATAAAAGTAGATCTTGTGGTCTTTTGAAGATAGATTGTGTGAGGAACCAGACCTAAATTTAAGATGCTATTCTGCCTCAACATCTTTTGTATTCCACACAAGAAAGTCATACGGGTTTGGAGCGACAGAGTAATTGATGGCCTCAGTACAAAGACATCATGTGTTGTCTCACATCTGCAGTCATTGCATCTTAACCAGAACTGCTTCATCTTATCTGTATTCACTTGCTAATTGCATGATAATAGGTTTTGACAGAGCAAAAATGAAGCTCCCAGGGCTCCTTATGATTAAACATCCAAATTGAACTCTTTCACTAAATTACTTCCTCTCGAACTGATGCTACAGGCTGAATATTGCCACAGCTGTTTCTGTTCAAGCTGGTGACGATACATTTGACATCTCTTCTTCATCACTCTGTGCAGTTGGATATATAAACACAGAAACTTGTTGAAATGCTCGTTTCTCTCCTCAGTGGACCAGAAACCAAAAGCTAATTTTTCCGCGAGCTGAGCACATCTCATCCTGGTTTGATGTGCTTCTAATGAATTAGGCAGCTGGTCTCGCAACCGAAATGACTTTCAAGTTACATGAATTTATTATGGGGTTACAATGGCATAGTGTTTAAAGTAATTACAGATTAAAGAAAACATGATGACTGATGTAGAGGTGGATGGCACAACCTTATGTGCACAGCTTTATAACATACACTGCAATCCACCTGGAGAGGATATGATATTATTAGACTTCTGATTTGCTCATGTTCATGGTGGCGACCTCTTTAGTGGCCTTATGAAATGTCACTATGGGACGTTGCCATTTATACCGTTTGTATGGATCCATCTTTTGCCCTTTACAAATGTGCTCCTCTGTGGCTTCAAATGAGGCCACAATATATTATAGATGCCTGTGTATTCTTATATTTCTCTATGTGTTGTGCTTTGGCTGTCTCAATACCAACATTTCAGCAGATGGTACCAAAAACAGTGACATTTTACAAGTTATGTGTCAAAGTTGAATACATTTAGAGGTTTGTTCACTAAAGTGTTAGCAGTAATAATAAAGCTGATTGTCTTAGCAAACAATACAAATCAAATGAGACAAATAAATACAGTGCTACTTTCCATTATTAGCATGCTATTTAACTCTGCATTGTGGAGATATAGTGGAATGGTTGTCTGTCTATTTTAGTCTTTATTGTGAATGCTATAAATACACAGGCAGACAGAGCCGGTCAGGGGTGTGAGCTCAGGGTCAGTCCATTAACAGACTGGGTTTAACACAACCTGGAGCTTCTCCTGAACTTTAATTCCAGTTAAACGGACTCACTCCCACCACCATTACTGAATGTCTACCACAACTGTCTTTACGACTGGTACCCAGGCACACCGATGCATTACCGTAACAAAAATAATTAAATATTAATTTATATAAATATAAATTAATTACCGTTTCCAAGCCAATTCTTTAAACCCATCTCATGAATTTTCAGTAGTTCCAGTCATTCTCCACTGGCTTCTTTAAATCATTCCCATTTCCTTTACCAAGCACCCTTAGCCTCTATAGCCTGGCTGTGCACACAGGGGTGACCTAGACACTCATATGTGTCACACATGCCTCTTTGGGAAGATGAGACGTGCTTTTTGCTCTGAGCTACCAGCCTGCGAGCCATCTTTATCCCTCAGGGTGAAATGTGAGGGGAGGGGGCGTTTGGTCTGCTCCAGCCCCCAAAACAGGCCCGGAAGAAAACTCTTGATTAAAAGTCTGCGCTGGTTATGCCAGGCATCCCACGCTAGGCTGACTGGGCTTATAAATAGATGGCTCATGGGAGGGGGATCGGGGTCTAACACTCACACAGGGGCCTATTAAGAGCTCATCTGAACAACAGTCTCTCCTTGAGCTCCTTCACTGGAGAGGACATCATCTTCATCACCATCATCATCATTATTGGGGCGATCTCATTCCAGAAGGGCTCCTTAAGGGTCACTGAGAGAATCATTTCAGCTTAATTAAGGCAGTTATCAAGCGCGCTCATACACAAATATGCAGACGTGCATTTTATGTATGATTACTAACAGCACAAGAGAGATTCAAGTGAACCTCAGCAAATAGTTAGCACATGTGTACTCCACAATATGATGCTTTGTTTTGTTTTTTCATGGTTTCTAAAGTACCGTCTTGAAATCTTGCAGGTATTGACATGATTATTTCATTGTGTTTTTATATTTCAGCACATAAAATTGATATGAATTGTGTAATTTCTGCATCACTGCAGGGTGGCACCAAACGAAATCGCAAAAATGAGGGTTTCAGATAGGTTTTGTTTGAAGAGATAAGAGGGTTTCTTCGAAAATGAATTGCGGTACAAATGACTAATTATTAAAAAGCAGTAACCTAATCCAAATATCACTGTAAGATTTTTGGATGACCTCATTGCCACATGTGCAAATAAAGACAAGCATAAAATAATATCAACCTGATATTGTACTGCAATAAAACAATTCTACCAATAAAAGGTGCCCTTTAGTAATCATGGCAAATTGAAAATAGAATAAAAAAATATAACAAGAAAATAATGGCAAATCATTTCAGTAATGGCCATTAGTGATGGGTGTTTAAAAACATTGCTTTGTGAAGCTTTGAAACCTTTACATTATTTTGATTTGAACCAATGTTGCCAAACTGCCAAAGTCGCTTTGTCACTTCATAGCCGTCGAAACGTTTCAAAAGTTCAAAGGTCTGCCAATAGGGAACAATCTTAGTGAATCCATCAACCAACGTACTGTATATATGTTTTTTTGTTTTTTTTACCTGATCACGGATCAGTTTTATAATGTAGACATTTTTAATTGAACAATTGTACAATAAAAGGAGGCATATCAGTCTCTTATTAGCCAGATTAGCCAAACACACAACAAAACCTATAAATTAACAAAAGAACATATTATACAAGCACTTAATGTTTAATGGTATTGCATAATATTGTAACACTAATATTTAATGGAAGATTGCATTTAATAATTACACTTTCAAGAAAACATTGGCGATTGGTTTGTAAAAGGTTTGTAAAGGAGTTTTTGTTGCTGATTTGACTAGCGATTCAGAAACAGTGAATAATTTTGCACAACAATTGGTTTAATTATTTCGCAGTTGTGCAGTTTGTCTCATCTAGTGGCCGCTGCAGTGAGCTAAATATTGGCATGTTGAACATCATGTTTTAAAAGTGCCACACTATTTACACTCTTTGGGAAATAAACCTACGAGCAGCTTTCCTGCAGTTGGCTCTGCACATCTCCTACCTCCTAGAGGCCAGGAGAATGTATTTCAATATCAAAAAGAAAAGAAAAAATTCACACTCTTCACATTTAAATCATTTTCTTGTTTTCCTGACTCCTTTAAAAACGGGAGTTCAGCTTTAAAAATGTATAATGCCATCTTATGCAAGCAGCTGACATTACTCTCCTGTTTGCTCTCCTAAAGGTCCTATGGGGAACTGACCAACTGCACGTTCCTGGTGGCTCTGAAGATGAACTGTTTCTGGCCCAACCGAATGGTGGACGAATTCTTCATCCAGGTGCACAGGCACTACTTCCATGACTGCTCAATGACTGGACGTCTGCTTCACGATCCACCCAATCGGATCTTGGGGCCTTTTATCGTGGTGCCCATTCTGGTGACGCTACTCATGACTGCTCTAGTGGTGTGGAGGAGTAAACGCAGCGAGGGAATCGTATAATCGTCTACAATAAACTTACCAAGTACCTCCACACAGAACAATAGAGAAAGAGATATCTCACAGTCTGCAAACACTAAGAAAAACTTGTTTCTTATCAAGTGGTTGTATATCCAAACAATTTTAGTGAAAGCTGTCACTGTGTTATCTGCATTCAGATAACATACAGATCATTTATACGGACAAAATATTTCAACACAATTTCTTTGAGGTAGTTTTTAACTAAATGTTTTGTCATGCCAGCATTTTGTCAGTAAAACAGATCTCCAATCTGTATGCAAGTCATTATCCTGATGATGGATAAGTTTCACACACCAAACAAAGGGAGGACACTGTTATTCCCATGAGTTTGACAAGCCTTTACAGTCATGTGAACACTGAACTCAGTCACTTTGTGTCACCCATCAACCTCAATGCATTTCACACTCATAAATGTGCATTGATGACACTCATTCAGTCATGATTAATATTGTTTTGTTGATTCAAGAAAGAAAACTAAGAAAAGAAAAGGGCAACGACCACAAACATGCCAATGATATTTACAATATCAGTGATCCCCAAAATCACCATTGGATATTTTAAGACACTCAAAAAGCTGTAAGAGATTCAAATGCTTTGTCCAAAATCTAAAGCGAATGTATCTCTCATAGACAATGCTCACAATGCATTGCTACATCAAAATTATCCAAGATTTTGGGGAGCTGTGATAAATTGATACTTTTCAGCAGGGCCGTTTCTAGGCATAGGCGAGCTAGGCGGTCGCCTACAAGTTCATGCAATTTCTTTTTTAAGAAAAGAAAACTAAAGAACAAGTGTGGCTTATCATGCAAATCATTGTAAAATCTATGTGCATTTACATAAATACAACACAAATGTCATGTAAATTAAGTTTGTACAAATTTGTAATACTTAAAAGGCAATTCACAATGCACCGAGAGATGCAGACCGTCACCAGATTACAATACATCACTTCTCAGACATTCCAAGACCCAACAAACAATCAGCAGAAATAAGTGCTGACCAGCGTCAAACAGGGGTAACAGTCTGATCTGACAAAACTGACCTGGTATCTGTCAGTGCAGTGTGAATTGACCTAAAGACTGCAAACTACTATTTAACATCATCTGTTTTTTTTTTTTAGAAATCAGACAGAATAGAATGTCCCTAGGGACAATTTGTTACATGCTTTTTAATTTGCTTAAATGTCAAAAGTGTTCAGTTCAGCGTTATCACAAAACCCCTGATTGGGTAACTCTGCCTAAGACAGTAGACATCTACTGTATATACTTAAGGCAATAGACAGTCAGGCAGCTCATCAGGTTCTGGATCAGAGCTGCAGTCTTTTGTTCTGAGAGTGGCTATCAGAAACTATAAGAAGCAGTGAACCAAAAAGAATCACTGCATTTATTTGGCATCTCTCATCTCATGGGCTCTCGTCATAAGGTTATGTCAAGGGAAAATATTTTTTAGTGGAGAGTAACATACTAGCTAAGATGCTTGCAGCATTTGTCAGGGAATAATTAATGTATTAGCACTAAAAGGATGTTTTTATTCACATGGTTCTGCTAATTGCTTTTTTAAAGTTATATCTGTATCTGGAGCTCTGTACCCACAGTGAGTGGTTTAAAAGCATTTGGCGAACTGGACAGTGGCACAGAGACAGAAGACATTTCTAATGTCAGCTGAATTTCAAAGCCTCTGATTTCTATTGCAGTTATAATAAAGCCATTTGCCCTCGACTCTTTTATACCGCAAATTTCCCCTCATTAGGGGTTTGCTTTGTAGCACATCATATGTGACCCTGGACCACAAAACCAGTCATAAGATTTATACATCACATGAAAGCTGAATAAACAAGCTTTCCTTTGATGTATGGTTTGTTAGGATAGGACAATATTCGGCCGAGATACAACTATTTGAATAATTTGAATCTGAGGGTACAAAAAAATCTAAATACTGAGAAAATCACCTTTACAGTTGTCCAAATTAAGTTCTTAGCAATGCATATTACTAATCAAAAATTAAGTTTTGATATGCTGTCAGGAAAACAAACAGAAACAAAGGTAGGCATTTGCTCATGATTCACCAGAAGTTTAGCTGTTAAATTACAGCAGTACAGTTAGCGCATTAGCAATAAGTCTATTTACTAAACTAGTTTGATTGTTATGCCACATGATTTTGATGTCTCTGCATTTTGTTGCAAGAAGGATGTTCATAGATTCATGTATTATGCACTATGCTAGTAAACCTAAATCAGTAGCCCACCTAACTCTGTTTAAAAAAAAAAAAAGGCCAAAAAGGAAACAACACAAACACACTGTGAGTCACTATCATTCATTTTGTAATAAAAGTCTCAACACTACAAACTTATTAATGAAACTATGAAAGTGATGAGTCAGGTGTACCACAGCAGTAAAACTTTGTAAAAATCACTAAACTCAGCTTTCATTTCAGCTTAGCCTCAACTCAGACATGTCAGGACTTTCAATAATCATTATTTCTTTCCTCTCCACCTACCATGTCTAAAAATCACAGCCGTCCGGAATCTTTACAGAGCTTAACAGCGAAGGAACGTATTAGTGACTGGCAAAGGAAGAAATATGAGGAATTACGTTATTTAAGTGATCTCAGATTTTTATTCTTTTATATAGATTATGTCAGATATTAAATTATGTATTAGATATTGCATATATGAATTAAATAAAAAACTGATAGCGCAACATGACCCTATAAGCAATCCATATGCTTTTCCTCACAGATAATGGATGTTCCTGTGCCATGAATGCAAATTGTTTGGACACCACAGGCAAAGTTTTTGTGGAAAAAAGATTGCATATGCCTGAATATTCACAATATTTCACAAAAACAAGCTGTTGTGACAACATGAATGGTCATAATATTTACACAACTATCACTTTTTCAGAGTAAACAATGAGCTGATTTATTGGTGCTATATCAGGGAAATTGATCTCTCTTGGGCAATATTCATCTCTTATATAATCTGTATGTGGAATCAATAAAGGATTTCAGATGTGCTGTCCCTGGCCTCATATACTTTATTGATTGCTTATGAAGTGCAGAGTATTGAATAAATTTTATCCTATGTCACATTACATGAGATGCCATTCAATACATGCCGGTAGCAGGATTCCCTTTAGCTGCACCGTAAATTACCATTTAATATTGACAGCACATTACCCAGAGATTAATGGATCACTAGTTGATGCGTCAGCTATTTATCACTTTAATAACAGGCAATTAAAAATGTTGTCTAATCACCTTGATGGAAGGGTAGGGGAATAATCATCTCAAATACATGCTTTTGGAGCCATATTTGAAAGGACATTCCTTTTTGTTAGATGAAAGGGTAAACAGAATGACAAGGAATATTCACACACTCCTAATGAGACAAACCCGTCATTCATCTCTGGAGCCGCACAGGAGCTAATAGTCATCACATGGGAGTTATTTTCAGTTACACTCAAAATGTTACTGTAAGTAATGCACCAATTAGAGAAGCTGTTACCGCAAAGGAATGAGAGGGCACAGGAACAATACAACACTTTTCACTATATCGTAATTAGACACTCATTACAAACCATTCTAATTTACTCTTTTATCATTCAAAAATGATTAAGAAGATAATGTCAGTTTAATAAATTATTTCTTTAAAGTTTAAGGGCTTAATTTCAACTAGTGTCATCTAACCGATTTTCAAACCCTCCCCCCATCTGACATTGTTCAAACAAACCAATAACCCAGCCCCAGTGGTTGAACCATTGTTTTGGCCTTTTTGATGACTCTAGATAACCTCAGGCTGGTTGTGCACCTTCAACTGCAGCAATGACTTAAAACTACAAAATAACAATACAGGTTTCATTTGCCGCTCTGTGATTAAAACGTGTATCCTAAACCCATGGGCGAGAAACAAGGTACAAGTCTGGTGCCAGCAGGTGCAGTGAGTCCAGCTCCAATAGCTTTTATAAAGGCTGTTGCTTAAAAAAGTTTGTTAGCTCTTGAAACTGGGCCAGCAGTCCCAAAACCCTGCTTTCTGGTGCCACCCAGATGCCTTTAGTTGGGTGTCTGGCCCAGAGCATTTACTATAAAACAATTACAGTGTTCAAAGGAGGCTGAGCAGTGCTGCTGGGAACAATGGAACAGGGCTCTGGTTTTACTGTTTTTTGTGGGTTTATAAAAGGATTAGGAGGGGTGGATGGAGGCATTTACATTGTACCACAAGAGAAGAAATTCTAAAAATGGTCCAAGACAAATGAAAGAAATCATTAGGCAATACGGTTAGAGGCTGTGCTGCGATAGCAATCTTGGCTTATTGGAAAAACACGCCTTTTTTATCTACATTTTTGCAGCTTGATTTGTAAAGACTTTTTGCACAGTTCCTTGCACATTACTATTATGACATCAGAATACTTTCATCATAGTGCATGATTTCTAAACATATACATTCATATACATTTTTGACATTTGCATTGCATAACTAGTTCTATATGTATAACTTTTCTGAGAGTAAACTTGCTTGGTCACCTGATACAGAATTGCACCTTTGATGCTGAGTGTTCGGGTACGAGTCACGATAAAATATATCAATTAAAGACTTGTAGAAGCTGAAATGGCATGGTTGCTTCAGCAAATGTGTGTTTTTTTTATCTCACATTAGACCTTGTTAACACTATCAGTTAAGTTTAGGTTTTAGGATTTAATTTAGGTGGTACATTATTTCCAAAAAATTTACATTTAAGCACCAATCACTGGCCATCTTATTTTCAAACTGCTTCGATACATACATCAAAAATATAAGAAACCTTGGCCAGATTCACATTTATCTGTTTAGGATAAAACAGAACTCACTTTTAGTGCCACTTACTTGACATTTCACTTCGAAAGTGTTGCAATTTGTTCATCATATTGCAGGCACGTTTTTTTTTCATTGAGCCTGGGTTAGAATATAGTCATGGTTAAACATAACAAAAATATTAAGGACAGACATTTTGAAATGCTACAAACATTTTACTAAGCATTTGCTATGGAGCTAGAAGATATAGTCCCTGTCATGTAAACTAAGGTTAATAGCTGGCCTCTATGGGTGCTGTGCAGTGACCTAGTATAGAAGCCAGAACCCCAAACTAACTGTTCTATATGCTTTTTTAAATTCTAACAAAAACTACAGAACATTTCAGAAAACAAAACAAAGGGCAAAGCCAGCATAAATATTCTTTGGCCCATTTTCACACAAAAGGCATCAAATATATTATGCATCACATTTCCATTCTTTTAATATGATTCCGATCACATTCAAACTGCAGTCACATATCTTCTAAGACTAGCACTCAGTAGCTGCTTTTATCAGCTATTCCCATTTATTATAAACTGTTTTTGTCTAAAACCGTGTCTGACAGCAGGATATTCACTCATTTCTAAGTGGTAACAATATCATATCCCAGCATGCCAGTGTCACGCTGTGAAGCTCTTTCAGTAATGAGATCAGGAAGTTGAAATCATGAACAGCGAACTTTTCCATTTGCAAGGTGGAAGTAAATTATTTTTAGAGATGAACTAGTGTCCTAGTTTGTCTTCAGTGGACCACTAATAAGAGGGTATAGGTGTCTGGCCTTTCACTAGGGGTCTTAGTATATGATGATGTCAAAGCATATTATTAATGATTGGACTCTTGGCCGGTCCA